CAAAAAAAAAAAAAAAAAAAAACTGTGTTGGGGATGAGGTGACTTGGCAGCTCCTTCAGGTGAGGCAGGCGCTGGACTGCTCAGCAGAGCCATTGTGAGGTGTGATTCTGAGAACCCACTCCATGGTAACCAGACAAATGAACACCACTCATAGTCCACTTAAACGCTGCATACACACACAGGTACATTTACGATCCTCCTAGAGAGACACCTATTTGCATAGATGTATATATATGTTTGCATGCATATCTGTATATGTAAATGAAAGTAGTTCTAATTTGTTAGTTAGCACTCTGCTCTGTTTTGTGCACACTAAATTAACCATACTAATTTCAGTTTTCCAGTTTTCGCTTCGCTTTGGGGCCTCATTTTCATGGGGTCTTTCCCATGTTACAAGCTGCAGTCCCTGGGCCTGGACAGCACAGGACCAGCTGCGGCATGGCAGTGGAGGGGTGGATGCTGGAGCCTCCAGGCCACGACTTTGGAGCGAGGGAGCCTGGGGTTTTGCCCCCCACCCAGGCTCCGTGGACAGAGGACACCTTGGGGATGCTGGTCACACCGACACAGACATTGCGTTACAATCCTCGCCGCTGTTTCCACTTGTCCTGATTTCTCCTAGTGTCCTCTTTTGCTCTGAAATTTTCCAGGATTTTTCACACCACTTAGAGAATTTGGAGATGGAAATTTTGAGTAAAATATGTTCACTCATTTTCATGTTATGCAAGAGTGAAAACAAAAAGCCTCAAACTCAATTTAGTGTGCAGTGGGGTGGGGGGTGGGAGGCGCCTTGCATAAGAAACTCCGGACTGCTCAGCTGCAGAAAGGAAAACATTCCCAAGCCAAAGATTCGGTGTGGGAGATTTTGTGCAGGGATTTTGGAAAAAATGATGGAAATTGAAAACAAATGAAAAACACCTCAGAGACACGTCCTTGCTGGCAGGGACTTTGAGGGTCCTGCAGCCTGCATGCTTCAGCTTGGTCAGAGGGGGAGCTGGCTGGGCTTGCAGTCCAGGAGTGTGTGCTGTGCTTCGGGAATTTCACCACCAGGTCCTACTCCCTCACCAGTGCTCTTCCAGGTCAGTGTCTCATCCATCCTGAGCTCTAGTTTACATTTTGAAAGTTTTGTTGAAGATAGATAGCAGTTCAGACTTGGTTAAATCTGCAAGACAAAATCGTACAAGTCCTCTTTGAAAAACTCAGCCCTGTGGTGCTGACCGGTCGGCTGCTCAGCACCCATGCAGAAGTCGGTTTCCCCCCAAGCTAAGGAAATCAGCCAGGCCAGCCACGCATCGGTCAGGGGTGCTGAGCAAACTGCAGTGCCCTCCGGGGCGTGACCCCAGCACACCTGAGCTCATGCACCCACGCGGTCCGCTTTCACCACGCTGTCATTCTCCACCCAACATCCACGCCTGAGTTAAGCGACAGGAAGAGCAGAGCTGTGCAGACACCTTGGTCCTGGCTCAAGCAGGGCAGGGAACACACGTGCCTGGCCACACTTCCTCTGCATTATGCCAGGGAGCAAGGGGCTGCTTTGGAGATTTGCTAATGTGAATCAAAGTGTTCGGTTCTCTGGAGCCTACTGAAAAAGCCCCTTCAAACTTAGATTCTGAAGACAATGCCATGCTCTTCCTGTCCTGGAGCGGAGGAGATGACATTTCCTAGCTGTATCAAGCCCTATAAAAGCAACGTGAGGTCAGACAAGGGTTCACTGTTGGGGAAGGACAGTGGGCAGAGAGGCTGAGCGTGGTGGTGCACTCTTATCACTGCAGCACTCAGGAGGCTGAGGCAGGAGACCGGCCTAGAGTTCCAGGTCAGCCTGGTTACATAGTAAGTTTAGGGCCAGCCTGAACTACAGAGTGAGACTGTGTCTCTGAAAATGAAAATCAAACAGAGAGAGAGAGAGAGAGAGAGTGAGAGAGGAGAAAGATGGAAAGGAAGAAAGGAGAGGAAAAGAAGAGAGAGAGAGGTGAGGGAATGTGTCTTTGATTAGCAGCCAGCAGCAGAGTATCACAGCTGGAACGGGACATTCTGAGACACAGTCAGACAAACGAGCTGTATTTTCTCTTGGCCCAAGGGCGAAACATCAGCAGTTCCTCACAGAGGGAAAGTTAGGCTCAGGTTCCTGAAATCCGGGGTGCTGTGGGTGTTTCTCTAGATCAGGTGGTATAGTGTTCCTGAAATCCGGGGTGCTGTGGGTGTTTCTCTAGATCAGAGGTGGTAGGGTTGGGGCCTCCAGGAACACGACATCTGATGTTTTCCTGGCTCCGGCCGTGTGGCTGGAGGACCAAAGAGGAAGGCGCCGTCAGCCTGCTGTGTCTGACTTCCTTCCTGCCCTGCTCTTCCTCACCTTCCTGCTTTTTCCTTTTCTCCTTGTTCAGAACACTAGATCGCGAAGATGCATACTTATGTATTATCAGTCTATTTACGCGCACACATTTCTACGCGGGGTTTAATGAGCCATTGTATTATAGAAGGAAATCTTCACGAAGGCAGAGCCATTCCCGGTCCCTACGGCCACCTTCTTTCCCCTGTGACCTTCTCCTTATTCCGGAAGGGCAAGCACTCCGCTAACAGTCATAGGCATTGATTCGTTCTCCCAGGGATATTGAACGCTTATGTATTTTCCCTCAAAAATATCATTTAGTTTAGGCTATTTTTCAACTTCTTAGAAAACATGCCATGTTTTCCCATGACTTGTTCATTGTTCAACGTTCTGTTCAGAAGCTCTTCTGTGAGCCCTTGTAGCCGCAGCTCAATTACTGTACTTCCTGAGCCTCGCGCAGTGATCACACTAAGGCCGCTGAACTCTCCGCTGTGGGGGACCAGCCTGCTATTTCCGGCACGGGTGAGGGAGGGTACACTCTGGTGCACATCGCAGGAGGTTTCTCTGAGGCGTGCAGCAGACGGAAGGACCGCGGGATGCACACACTTTACTCGGAGGGAATGCCAAACCATTCCCTCCATGAAAGCACCAAGTCAAACTCCGATCAGCAGGGAGTGAGAGATCTGACCAAAGCTTGGATTGCTCAACTTTTAAAGTTTTGGGTATTCAGCTTCATTTCGTGACTTCAATATTCCATTTTCTATTTGTGATTGAAGCTGAACAACTTTTCATATGCTTGTGGCAAGTTTGGAAGGGCCAGTTGTTACCTTTTTACAATTATTTGTATTAATGCATATTTTTCTTGAGGATGCATATATGTAGTTATTCACATATTTTGGACACTTGTAGTTTGTCAGTTGTATGACTGCACATATTATGCTACTTTGTGGCTTGGATTTACTCTTTTTTCTTGTGGCAAGTTTGGAAGGGCCAGTTGTTACCTTTTTACAATTATTTGTATTAATGCATATTTTTCTTGAGGATGCATATATGTAGTTATTCACATATTTTGGACACTTGTAGTTTGTCAGTTGTATGACTGCACATATTATGCTACTTTGTGGCTTGGATTTTTACTCTTTTTATGTTGTCTTTTTAGTTATGATTTGTTTTTGGTTGAGGATTACACCCAGGGCCTTGTGTATGCTATGTGAGAACTGTCCCACTGAGTGACATCCCCAAGCCTCGCTGAGATATCTTTTAAAACATAAATGTTCTCATTTTGTTTCTCATTTTCTAATAGTTTTTCTTTTATGTTTAATGCAAATTTTGACTTTATTCAAGATCATGAAAACATTCTCTTATACGATTACCTAAAATATTTATATACTATAATCTCTCTTACTGAAGTCTTTAAACAGTATGGAATAAATTTTATATATAAAGTGAGGTGGAGGATTGATTACATTTTTTCCATATTGTTAGTCAACCATAAATGCATCACTTATTGAAAAGACTGCATTTTCCTTAATGACATGTAATGTTCCTTCTGTCGTAGCTCCAGGGATCCCAAGTACACAATTTTGCCATTGAGTTGTAATGTTTGTCATTGACCCTGTCCGTACCATTACTACACCTAAGTTATTATAGCATGCAGAAAGTGTTGATTCCCTTTAGAGATTCTCAATCTGTTATTTTTTCTACACTTTTTGCTTTGTCTTTTAACATATATTTAGAAACAGCTCATCACATCTCATAGAAACCACTCCAATGTACCCTTCTTTCAGGGTTTTGATCAAACCTGAATTAAATCTAAAAACCGATTTTGTAGGACTCCACATCTTTAAAGTTTTCCAAATATCACAAACGTTCTGGTCTTCCTATTACTTAAGTCCTGTGCAAAAACATTGCTGAAGTTTCATATTTTTCATAAAATTTTGAACTTTTGAAAAACTCCTTTTCAGACATTTTGTTTTTTTCTAATGTTATCACAAATTATATAATTTCAATTTTAATGTGTTACTCTAAGTAAATGTGTGTACATAAATAATGTAAAGTTGCAGAATCATATATGAGATTCCAACAACTTTTCTCTCATTTGTATAACTTATCTGTAGGCTTTTCGAATTTCTACATATGCAATTTATTTAATAAGAAAATAACGAAAAATTTGTTTCTTCCTGTAATCCTGAACATTTGCACAGCTTCCTGTTACTTTATCATATTGTTCATGAAATTCAGAGCAATATTGCAAAGGCTTGGTAACAGAAGCTTCGTGGTATTATTAAGAACCTCAGAATTAAAGCTTTCCACCATTGATTATATTTACACCAGTGTTTTTATTAATATAAACCTCCTTTCAGCTTAATGATAGCCTCTTCAACTTTTATTACCAATAATTTTTAAAATAATGAATTGTTGAATTTCATTCAATTTTTTGAGTGGGTCTAAGTTTATCTCTTACTGAGAGGAGTGTTTTACAATTCCCCTCAGTGATTGTGAGTTTACTTATTGTGTTAGTTATTTTTCTTTCATTTCTACGACAAAGTACCCGAAAACCAAAGTTAAAGTTTATGTAGCTCACAGTTTGTAAGGGTTCAGTCCATAATCGGCTGGCTTCATGGCAGAGAGGGATCGCAAAGGGAAAACAGTTTCTGGTGACCACGAAGTAGCAAAAGCAACAAGCAAACCTTAACAATGTCTTTCTGCCCCTTTTATTTTACCCAGACGACCAGGATCAGGGAGGTGCCAAACCAGTCACTCATGTATAGTGGTTAAGTAACCACACACCCTTAAACCCAGCGTCACACACTCTAGATTCAGCGACCTCCGTAAAGGCCACCTATGACCACATAAAGCTTTGGGGGGACATCTGGACACAAACCGTAACACTTATTTGGGGGGTAATTGTATCAATTTTAGCAAAATATATTTTAATCAGTATAATTAAACATTTACAAATTTAGAATTGCTATTTCCTCATTCAGTGAAAATGTCCTCATTATAAAGTGATCTATTCATGCACTATACACATAGCTGTAGAATCTATTTTGCCCAATATCAACATATTAATACTATGTCAAGATTATTTTCCATGTATTTATTTTGAATCATTGGTATTCTCATGGTTTATATGTCTCATAAAAAACTATGCATTAATAATTTTATAGTCTCTAATAATCTTTATTAACTAGAACATTTCTTTCATTTCTAGCTTATGTTAGTATGAATTTATATCCCTTGTCTAATTCTACCTTGCTCTCCTAAGATTTTTTTCTCCTGTCTTTATATTTATGGGAAGATATTTTTAATCATTTCATGTTTTAATTTTTGAGTAAATATACTCTTTCCATCATATAATAATTACCATAGAAATTAAGGCATAAGTACTTAATTCATAAAATCCTAAAATTAATCAATACTTTCCCCTCATTATGAACAATGCAAGATCCTTTTGGCTCACATTGACTCAGTCACCCATTTTGTACCTCACATGTTTATTTTGGTTTTGTGAACCTACAGACACTATCACAATGATTATGCAGCAGTTCTGTTATGGTCTAAATGCTTGTGTCCTCTATATTCATACATGGAAATGCTGATGTCATAGAAAGAGCACACGCAGCTGTTGGGAGGTGAGGAGGTCATTAGGGAACAGGAGAAAGACCGATATAGACCAGGCTCCAGGCTGGCTCGCCACTGCCAGCACAAAAGCCTGAGGAAGACTACGTTCTCACCAGCCTTGCCGAACTGGCTGTTCTTCCTCCTTTTCCCTTTGCTGTTCTTACTTATGGTTCATTGGCTTCCTGTTATTTTGGCTGTGAAGTGCTCTGTTTAATTGGCAAATTATTTATGAGCCTTCTTCAAGGCTAAGATGATAGGGCATTCCTCTAGAGAGCACAAACAGTTCCCTGTACAACTTTAATCTATGTAGTTTAAAGACTTTAAATGGTGGGTGTGAATTTTTAACATAGTTGATGTGATTTGAATGGGCAGTATGTGCTAGAGGTCATTTGTAGTTTCAACTCAGAGATTTTATTTTATCAGCATGAAGGTTTATTTCTCTATGGCTCCTTCAGGGAAGAAGAGATGCAGGTTAATCTGGGGGATTAGGCACAGCAGATTTATTCATAGTTGGACCCCAGCTTTGGAGGTGAGTGTTACATGGTGACAATCCTCTCAGGAAATCTTGTGTCTGTGCTCTGTTCCCCACACCCTGGCTTCACAGTACCCTCAGAAAAGAAACTGCCATGGCATCTGGGTTCCTGCCTTTACATAGATATTTCAGTAGATGGCAGCTTTTATGTTTATAATATAAAGATAGATGCAACAGTTTAAATATTTTCTTAATGAGATTTTTTCCCTATAACCTGGGCTGCCACCCACTTAATCTTCACGTCCTTGTTTGTCCATACCTGGCCGTGCCAGGGCAACCTCGGAGTGGCTCTAGCCATGCACAGGGTCTCGCACTAAAGGACGCTGTGGTATGTGCATCTCATGGTTGCTGCCAAATCAGATCAGAAAGGAGTTCATGTGCTTGATTTGTAAGATAAGTTTTATAAAGCTTTTTAATAATGAAAACAATATGAACTCATTTTTGACACAAATGTAGGAAACAATAAAACAAATGAGAAAAATATTAAACATTCCAAGATAAATACTATTTCTCTGTCACATTTTATATTTTACATACTGTGTGAATGTGTATATGGGTGGTACTTGTTTGTACTATTACACAACAATGACCATGTACCCCACATCTATTTCCTTCTGATTAGGATAAATGTATTATGGACCTTCAGGCTACCATGGCTTATTTAACCTTTCTCCTATTTATATTTTTTTCCTTTTTACTATAATGAAGTGTGTGTGAGTGTGTGTGTGTGTTCCCATTTCTTATTATGTTCCAGAAAAACATTTTAGAAAATTTTAGAAGAGGAAGCTTTTTAAAATTTTATGTTCAATTGACAAATAGCAATTATGGACTATAGCGTGATGTTAGGCACAAGTATCCATTGTATTATAATTAGATAGGGCTCCTTAACATACTTGTCAGTTTGTTTGTAGTGAGAACACTTAAAATCTACTCTTTTACTGATGTTGAAATGCACAGTACACTGTCATTTATTATAGTAGTACAGCGATCTCTACGACGTATTGCCCTGTCTCACTGAAAATGGCCAACCTTGGCTAACATCTTCTCTTCTCTAATCCACCTTTCCCACCATCCTCTCAGCCACTGGTTATTACCTTTCTAGTCTCATACTTCCAGGAGTGTCACCTTTTTAGATTTTGCACATAAGTGACATCATGCAGTGTTTGCTTTTCTGTGCTTGACTGTTATTGGGGGAGTTTTTAAAGTATCTAACTGTTAAAATGTATTTCATATTAAAATATATCTTATAGTTAAGCAGCAATCACTTAAAATATGGGAATAGTAACACCCCATCACACAGATGTGAGGCTGTAATAATTTAATGTATATCTCGATAAATCCCAGAAGCAGACTCTCACTAGACATCAAAAACGGCATCCTCAAGCCATTTCTATTAGTTCAATTCTCACTAACTTGTTCGTGCACATTTAACTGTAATCAAATTTTTCCAAAGTGATGAGGTTGCGGGGTAAACTTCCCCGCTTTCCCTGCCCTGACCCTTGCCCCAAACCCCACCATCTCCTCTGATCGTGCTTATTGTCTCTAATCATTTATGTTATTCATACGATTTCCTAGATCATGAATTTGCGAATTGCTCTTCCTTTCGGAATAAGAGGACTCTAGGGTTAGCTTGAAATTAAACGGTAGGATTTGTTTGAATTCCCAATATGCAATACACTGCCCTGCAAATACGGCGGCAGGTGGCCTGCCACTGACCTGGTGGGTGATTCTAGACAAGTTCACCCATCTAGTCATCTGGGCTGTGGAAAGTAAAAACACTGGTCTGAGGCCACATGGGCTCGTGAGAGTTGGATCCGATCTAGGCAAGAAGCAGCCCGAGTGTGCACCCTGCGAGGTGCAGCAGGAGAGCCAGCTCGAAACTTCTGGGAGCACATTCCTGGGCTGTGTTCCCAGCTGTCTTTCCCTCAGCCTGGTGACTGTGAGCAGAGCCCCAGAGATTTGAGAAGCTTTTTAGTCCATGGTGCAAAGAAGTGAGAGAGAAATGATAATATTTCTTTCTCCATAGGGAACTTCCAGCATCTTTGAGAAAACAGAATTTCTTTTGATCACAGAACAGAAACAGATATTAACCATGGAGTGTCCGCCAGTGAGTGGGTTTTGGCGCATCAGATCTTAAAATGAGATAGTCCCTTGGTCAGAGAGAACCTGTTGGAGGTGACAGGGTGGGCGACCGGAGGTTACAAGGTGACCAGCGTTGGGTCCAGTACCAGATGTGCTGTACTTGCGGGGCTTCATTGTAACTTCCACTGTCCTCCCAGAGATAAAGGGAAGAGATGCATCTGGAGGCTAAAACACAAAGCACAGAGCAGGGCTGCCTGCAGTGCCAAGGGCCGTCAGGGCAAGGTGGGTGACCCCGGGAGTGTGGCCATCAGGAGAACGCCAGATGCTCAGCTGTGGGCCTGGGCCACAGTGTGTGGGAGTGAAGGTGCACCCGTGCGCTTGGAGCTGAGGAGCAGAACAAGGGGGCCTGAGCCCAGGTCATCCTGTGGAGATGGAAGTGGAGGCCTCCTCTGACCCTCATGAGTGACAGCCTCGGGTCTCTGCAGGAGCTGGCACCCCAGTGATCCAAGCTTTCACATCCTCCGAGATGAGTGTCCCCCTGGATGTCAGAGGGCAACTCTGTGGAGATAGTAAGCTTCTCAGAGCTGATGGAGAAATGGCTCTGTCCCTGGAGGACTCTCCAGGCTCATCCTCACGGGGACCTGCGACAGACTTCTGGGAGAGGGACAAGTGCTGCAGCGGCTGGTCCGAGTCTCCTCAGGGAAGAAAATCGCTCCAAATCAGCTTCACTCCAGCGCACTGATGTTTGTCTCCTTCCTTTCTTCACTCTTTCTTTTGAGAAAATAAGCATTTCCCTTCCTTTCTTTTGATTCCCAAACCCAGACGTAACGGTTGCGGTTCACATAACCTGCAGGCTGTGAACCAAAGCAGCAGCCACTCTCGCTTGGTGGGACCGGCTGACTTCTGGCACAGGAATGAAAAGGCGAAGCTGGAGCGGATTCGCCCTGAGTGGCTGTCACTGCCCAAGTCCCTCACATCTTCCGTTCCTTCACAGCTGAACACCACACTCTAATCGAATTTGCCTCTGGTCCTTGCATCCCTAAGCTGTGGCTGCTGATAGCACTGGGATCTGGGGCTGCAGAAGGCTCTGCTCCGCACCCCTCTCACTTCCTGCGAAGGGGAGACTGTGCTCTCCTTACTTCTCTGCGTTGCCTGGATGGGGCCCAGGGCAGGCACGGGCCACCATGACTACGCCACGATGGGCCTTCAGGGTCTCTCAGAGGGGGTCTCCACGTGCAGAGCGGGGGGCTCCGTTCATTTCTGGAACCAGCCTTTGGGGCACCACAGTCAAGCCTCTGATCCAGTCCCCAATGGTTTGTGCTGGAGATGGGCTCTCGGAACTTCACAGAAGTAGCAGGACGAAGCATAAGCACACCTTCTCCTCCAGATGCTTGGGGCTCTGTGTACAGAGTAAACCTCAGGATGTGTGTATATATGCTCTTATCCCAGGATGCTGATGGCTCAGGGGACTTATGCGGTGATGGCTCCCCCGTGGCAGCTTCTGACAGGCTGTCAGACGTGATGAGGGCAGAGACACTGAGGACTTAGTATACGAATCACAACCTGCCGGCTGCAATGTCAGCTTGTGCAGAGTGGATCCAAATGGGGTTCACTGAGGCCTGCAACAGTTGAGCCCTCTTTTATACTGTGATCACAGGCAGCATGGTCTTGACAAAGAGCATAAAATGCGCAAACTGTTTGCACTGTGATTCTTAATCTACCTAAAGTAGTCTAACAGCATTTCTAGGAAGCTGTGTGGGCTTTAACCGTTATCTCAAAATGTATAGTCAGTTCAGAGATTGACAAGTTGCAGGACTCTGCAGGTGCCGAACACTGGGGAAGTCTTCCAGAGGTGTCTGGGTCATCTCCTTGGTGGAGCTATGGGGAAGGGGTCCTCACAGATGGGCAGGGGAAAGCATAGAGGGATGTGTTGAGTTTGAGGAATACATAGGAAGTCCATATCATGCCCATGACTGAGCCAGAAGGTAGACGTGAGGAACAGATTGGTTCTTGAGGCTGTGCTGAGTCTCATGGAAATTGAGACGGTATCACAGGAGACAAATACATAGAGCAATTAAAGCTGATGTCAGGGGTGTGGTACAAGACAAGCCGCATTAGAGGAACAACTAAGATTTATCAGGGCTCTTTTTCCCTCATCATGAGTGCACCTCACGCCCCCACCTCATCTTGTACCTAAGATGACTCACGTTGAGACACAGCATGTGTGCCTGGTGCCTGTTTCATGTTGACCTAACCCATGTGGTACCAGGCAGACTGGAGAAAAAGAGCAAATGCAAATGGATTTGAGCTGAAATTTCTTCTTTTGCTTTCTGTGTCTGCCACACATGCTGCCCTCGGTCCATTAGAGGTGATGGAAGCCACACAGCTGAGGATAAAAGACAGCCCTGGAAGGCTTCTACTGCTTCTGCTACCTGAGTCACACACAAGTATGCTCGGTCTTCCCCTTCTGGTTAGAACTATCCAGAGTCCATAAGTCAACCAATCCGGGTGCCTAAGATAAGTAGAAAGGAACAGACTTGAAGAAAAAGTTTAGTCTAAGTTTTAAAAATATTGTTATAAATCTTTATTTTTTCTGAACTTTGCTTTACAGCAAATATAGTGGAGCCTTGAGTTACAACTCGCTTGACATATGAACAACTTGGGTTACAACTGGAATTTTAGTTTTAACTTATGAATGAAGTCTTGACTTACAACCCGAATGCTGGCCACTTGTGCTTCCAGATGGACTCAGATATAGACTTAACCCTTACAGAGTCCTGGATGGAATGTTACAGTATTCTTTCCTGGGTGGAGTTCACTGAGGAATCCTGGGCAGTGTCTCTCTGAGGACACGGATCTGCCTGTGCACAGGAGGAGACTATGAAGGCTGTGTAGAGGAGCCTGAGCCGTCACTGACCAACTTGAGTCACAACCAGCCCTCTGGAGCCAAGTGAGTTCGTGAGTCAAGGGTCCACTGTGTAAGATACATTTATATAAAATAGCAATATAGAGAGCAAATATAAGATACATATATAATTTTACATATATAAAATTTTAGTTATTTCCCAAATATTTTACTAAATATAAAATTTTTTAAAGTAACATTTCTTTTTTTTTTCTTTGTCTTAGTTGACATCTAAGAGAATAACAAAAATATTTCAGCCCTTTAGAAACCATTCTAACTGAAACAGTGCCAGTGAGAGCGGAGGCCCTGGCATCGCGCCTACTCCTGAGGCAGCCCCTGCAGCCGACATTTACCAACCACATCTGCGTGCCAAGTGCAGTGTCAAAGATAAGCCGGGGTGAGCTGGGCACGGTTCCTGCCCTCAAGCCAACTTGAGTGTAAGTGGCTGCAGCCGAGGGAGGACTCTCTGGGCGTCTCTTTCACAGGACAAGAAGTTCCCCCAGGAAACACTATCCATCATCTTTCCTCCCGCTCCTCCGTGACTCATACTGAAAACTTCTAGGCTGACTTGGGCCTGAAAAAAAAAAAAAAAAGTAAGAAAGAAAAACGAGAAGTAAATACATTTGACAATAAATTTGAGATCATAAACCTTAGGATTCGTTTTATAATTCCATGCACTTCGAAGTCAGGCAATATTTTTCATTCGATGTGGATTTAAAGGTAGCTCAGAAAAACACAGGATTAACTCTAAGTGGTGAGGTGGTAAGCAAGAGCCAAACTTCCAAATAAACACATCAGAGACTTGGTCTAAAAAAAAGACAGGACACAAATAACCTTCTCTTCATGCGCCTGTGGTTTCATTTAACTGTTCCAGGTCACGAACTAATTTGCCAAAAAGAGGTTAACTTCAGAGCAGCAAGACAGCACTGCAGGAACTGCCGGAGGCGGCCCAGGAGACCCTTCCCAGCACTGCTCCTGGAGGATCACTTTGAAAGTGAGGGATCGGGCAACGCTTAGGACCTTGGGGAATATGGGCCTTAGCGAACAAGAGCTTGGCTGGTGCCCAATGCAGTCTCCACTCCTAAGAACTGGCCCAGATGAAGGTGTTCGGAGAAGCGGGGTGACCTGGGCAGCCCACCTCCCTTCGAGGCTAGCTGGCCTCCCTGTAGAGCAGGCTTTAGAGGCCTGGCTCTTTCGGGTCCCTCCCAGGGCACAGAGGCCGCTTTTCCCAAGGACTCAGCACAGGCAGGTTGGCCTCTGCCCCAAGCTTCCACCTGAAGGAGAACAGAAAAGTAGCCGGAGTCCTGGGGGCTCAGCTGGAGGCTGATTTCCCTTCACACCAACCCGTCAGAACTCTGGGGCGGGCGGAGGAGCGCAGGCAGCCTTATATCATTTACAGGAAAGGACCAAGCTCTCTTCTGGGTGCGCGTGCCCCCCACCCGGTCTTCATTCCAGCCTGGTCGGAGCCTCGGGTGTAACACGTGTAGGTGCTGCTCGCCGGAGCTTTGTTACCCGGGCCTGGCCCGGGGACTCCGACGCACAGCTGCGTGGACCCGGGACACAGACGGGCCTGGCAGGGCCCCGGAACCCACAGAGCACGCGATAAGGGGCTCACCCGGAACCCGCTAAAACCTGATGCGCAAGGGAGCGACACACGGGACGGGACCATGGGAGGGTGGTGCGTTTGTTTGTTCGTTGCGGTACTGTGGGGGCGGGGGTTGAACTCAGGGCCTTGCACTTGCCAGGCAGCGCAGTGCCGCTGAGCTACATCCCCGGCCCCGGAAGGAAGGTGGTGACCCCCGGACCCTGGGGCCTCCGTGGGACTCGCGAGGCGAGCGCGGCTGGGCCTGTGGCCGCCCCGGCTGTCCCCTCTCCAGGAAGCACTTCAGGTCGGGGGCTCCAAGCCGCTTCCATAGTATAAGTGCATCCGTCCAAATGTCAACAGCGAGTCAGCCTGGATGGTCGTCAGTTCGCGGCTGTGCTGGGAAGCGCGACCCTGGGACGCCTCCGGGGGAGCCACAGCCAGCGGCTGGGGCAAGCGCGGCCGCTCCTCCTTGTGACTCGGTTTCGGAGAGGAGGGAGGGAGGGCGCGACGTGGCCTGTAAGGGGTGCTGTGTGTCCCCTAGAAACCCTATCCCGTCCGGTGCAGTCTGCGGAGGGGGCCGTAGCCCAGCCTGAGGCGTCCTTCGTGAAGCGGACCCGGGAGGAACCTTCGGGCTGGCGGGCCGCGCCTCCCCACCAGAGGGCGCTAGTGCCCGCCTGTCGGAGGTCCAGGCTCTGCCCCTCTGTCCACCGCTGCCCCTCTGCCTCGCAGCCAGCCTGCCCTCACCAAAGCAAGGCGGGGGCTGTAGGACAGCTGGACACCCAGAAGCCCCTCTCCCGGGGACCCCACTAGCCCTAGTCAAGGGATCGTTTCCCCCAGAATCTCTTCCTCTGGGGACCCCTCCCCCAGGAATTCCCTCAGGAAACCCTTCCCTAGGGCAAACCCCCCACCCCTCCCTCCAGGGACCCCTTCCTTGGGGAACCCCCTAGCAAGGGACCTCCCTAAACTCCTAGTCAAGAGACCTTTCCCCCCAGAAATTCCCAGCTAAGACCCCCACCCCAGGATCCTGGGCCAGGTCTATGCACCATGCAAGATCTGCTCTGATCACACTTGGAAGCTGGGAACCAGCGAGTGCTGACTTGCTGTAATTCTCTTAGGAAAGGGGCCCCTTCTTTGGCAACTTCACACCTGAGAACACGTGGGGCACCCCACCCACCCCCGTCCAGACACCAGTCTGCTTCACGTTTCAAAGGCTGGGAACGGCAAAGCTTGTATTTTGATTAAGATTTTGTATTAGCTTTCTTTCTGCCCCTTCTGATGTAGTTTCGGGATATTTAATTTTAGCCAATCATCTGAGGGGAAGGGGAGGCATTTCATGTGAAACAACGTGGAGGGAAAGCGGCCAAGTTAGAAGACACAGCCTCTCAGGCTGCAGGGCTGTGACAGCTGAAATATCCTTTGTTCCCCAGGTAGGGTCTGAAACCAAAGGCCTCCAAGGGTGCAGTCCTGCTCTGGGCATCCCCTCCAGACACCTCCTCTGTACTCCTGGCCCGGGTGGGTTCAGGGCTTCAGCCTCAAGGCGAAGCTCAGACCGGTTGCCCCGTTTGCCTGTGGCCATAGAGGTTTGCTAAGCGAAGCTGCACGAACTTTGGAAAAGCTCGTTCAGAGAAACCACAGTGGATATCGGACACAGCCTGCTAGGTTCCGGGGGAAGCAGCGCTTAGTTCTGCAAACAAACGGCACTAGACGAATTAGGGGACAACTGTCAGGGCCCCAGGCCCACCTGCTGTTCCGCCATCTGAGTCTTGAATTCAATGTCTGTGGGGCCGGGGCGAGAGGGTGGAAAAGCCAATTACTAAGTACGGGGCATACTTGGCCCTGGTGCATGTGGAGAGAAATTCATTGTTGGCTGATTAAGAGAGGGTCTGCTACGAGACAGAACAGGAGCCATCCAAACCGGAAGGTGCACACCAGCCTTTGCAAAGCTACTCTGGGTATCCTCGGGCCTCAGCGCTTCGAATGTTTATCACTATATCCACCTCACAGACGTTAGGACGACCTGGAGGACGGGTGTGGGGTGTGGGAAGTCCCCGGGGTGCCGGTCAGCTCCAGGTCCTCTCCTCTCGGCCATTCCGCTTCACCTTGGGAAGATGCACTCAGCCTCACGGCACAGCCCATGTGGTTGAGGCCGCACAGAATGGCCAAGCAGCCCCTCTGCTGGCCCTCTCAGCAGCAGCGGCTGAACTGCATCTTCGTTTCAGTAAAGGCCCTGCTCAGGAGAGCCTCGAAGTGGGAAGGGCCAGAAGGAAAGCAGCCTGATCTCGGACCTGCTGCTGCCTGGCCCTGCCTCGGGCCTCCCACGGGATTACGCTGCCCCGCTGTCCTTCTGCCCGGGGGTCTCCCTTGAGAAATGCCATCCAAGAGGCTTGTGAACTGACAGACCCGGGGTCCACCCTGCCCAGAGTGGCGGCAGAGACTGGAGAGATCCCTTCCGCGGCTTGGACTGGTTCTCTCTGTGGCTGAATAAATCCCTCCATTGAGAGATCAACCTTATTTTTCCGTCGTGCTGCTTCTGACCAAGTGATGATTCCAGAGCTCCCATCTGTGTCGCCTCCACCTGGCACCTTCCCTCGCAGCTCCATCCTCCGAGTAAACACCTCGGGCTGGCACTCCCTCCTCCGCTGCCCTGCCCTCTGCCTCTGCCATCCCCACTGGCAGGCCCGCCCCCACTCCACTGCTGGCTGTATTTCTGCTGTTCCAGAACTCCCCAAAAGGATAAAGGTAAAGGTTCAGGGTGATCTCATCCTGGAGCTCCGGAAAAACAAGCCAAGCAGGTAAAGGGGGGGCGTCTGAGGCCACTCTTCCTGTCAAAGCCCAGCCCTGCGCACTGCTGTGGTAGAGGCAGATGCTCGGAGTTATGTTTCCAATAAGAGCATGGATTTGCACTGCCTGATGATCAAAGACAAAGTCCTGGGCCTGGAATTCAAGGCTATCCAAATCTGGCAGTGTCTTGCTTGCCTTTTCCTCCTCCGCTTCCTTATGTTGCCGCCAGGGTTGGTCAGCCCTTCTGTGTACACGTCCTGCGCTCTTATACACCCAGCCCTTATGCACAGAATCTCTTCTGTTGGAACGTTCTGTCTTGACTGCTAAGGACGTGATGTATGGAAGAGATACGTATCTGTCCTTTGGCGTCTCCAGGGAAGGAGGGGCAGGAAGGAGGGGTGGGGGGTGGAGGGTCCTTTCCAGTCCTCTGCATCCTTCTCTCCTTCCTGAGGGGAAGCTGGGGCCCGACTGCGCTGAGCAGCTTAGGCACTCCGCCTTGGGGGTTAGATTAGGTTTCTTGGGGGACGTTAACAGAGAGAGCAGCAGCATGGGCTCAGCCACGTCCTTTTCTGCAGCTCTGCCCCCGCTGGCTGGCACGTGTGGGGCTCCTGGCCTGGCTCCCTTCCACTCCCCGCTCCCTGCCATGGTCGGAGCCCAGGGACAGCCAAGTGCTCTGCTCTGTGCATGGCCCTGCCCTCCTGAGCGTCGTGGGAAGGTTAGGCCAGAGCCTGGCCAGGTCTGAAACCCGAAACAAGATGGTGCCATCATCAGAGCCCTCGGACCTCGACCCCAGGTCTCCTGAGTCTTCTCCACTGGCTCTGCCCTTCACATGCGTCCTGTAGGACTTCAGGTGCTCTTCATCTGTCCTTCCCTAGTGCAAACTCACATTTAAATGTTTTCAAGGACCCTTGCATTAGGGTGCAGTGGGAAGTCACACATCAAGTCGTAATTTCCTGACAGTCCAGTTCTGGGCATTGTCATGGTGTAGAGAGCAAAGTTGGATGTGAAGCCTGGATCTGGGTCTCGGGCTGGGGTGCACTAGAGTCCAATAATGCTACAAGCTGTTACCGAGAAGGAATCTCAAGGTAGTTATTTACCTATATTATCTCTTTTTTTGTAATGAAAACTGAGAAGCTCAAAAACAAAACAATAGCACAGCAACAATAAAGAAAGCACAGCCAGCTCAAGGTCACAGAGCAAACTGCAGGTTGCTCTCCTGCTTCTTCTGCCTCGTCCCTTGTACTCTTTCTGTGCCCGTGGCATTTGTCCTTCAGCGACAAACAGGACCAAGGGCGCATATCTGTAGTCACACAGGCAGCAGGAGGTGAGTGCCACTCAGCTCCCCAGGCTTAGAGGAAGTAAAGTTAGAAAGGGCATTTGGGTCTTTATTCAGTAGATGGAGGCCACTTTGAAATCATCTTCTGTCCCCAGACCTACCGAATCAGAGCTCCTAAAGATGAGCTGGAGCAAGTGTTCTTAT